TTCTCGTCGTAGCTTCTAGATAATTCATGGTAGGCACATAAAAATTCACACAGATGACCATCAAAGCCTTCTGCCGCTCACGCCTTTTGAATTTTTCCAGCAGGTGCAGCAGTTTTTGAATGGCGATGAGACGTTTCAGAGGTCTGAAATCACATCTGAGCTCTGTTAAATGCATAATATATGAAATCTTGAAACAAAAATTTCCACCGACCACATCTTTTATAGTACACTAATGATTTTCTCAAATTTAGTGGGGTTTTTTGTCAGCTTCTAAGTGCTGTCTTCAGTTTTGCTGTTGGTATTACATTTTTTGTATTACAATCCCCAGAAGAACTGTGCCAGCTTTGATCCAAACCCCTTTAAAAAAAGGCACTTGTGGCCGACAGACGGCTGAAATGTTCTCTCATATCTTCTAGAAACTTTGTGGTAGGCACACATGACCACCAAAGCCTTCTGCCGCCCAGATTTTTCAAATCGGTGCAGTACTTTTCGAATGGTGATGAGAAGTTTGACAGGTCCAATTTCACTTCTGAAGGACAGATTTAAAGGCTTCTCTCATTAACACGAGTACGGTGCCTCCAACAACCGGGGAAAAGGCGGGAAAACAGTGCTGCTTTCTGATTGGTTGAGAGTGTTCAACCATTTTCTGTCCAAGCAGGATCGAGCACCCACACATATGATACATCAAATCGACCAACTTGGTCTCCGGAATCGTGTATTAAATTTTAAATGCATTATCTGTTACCATGGTAACACAAGTGCATAAGGATATCCCCAAACAAGTCTCATTGAAATGATTGTGAAAAGCCTAATATTGAGCCTATAACATACTGCTGTTTCTTTTCTTTCTGAGCTCTATACACTTAAAACTAGCAGCATGGCTGACATTTTAACACTAGTCAGAAGGCAGGAACCGCCCCCTCCTCCTTCGTTGCTGTCTCATTGGCTGAGAGTTTTCAATCGTCTTCTGCCTAAAAGGAAATATGCACCTACACATATGATACATAAATTCAACCTGCTTGGTCCTACGAGTCTTGTATTAACTTGATACTGTGTTCTGCGTTACCATGGCAACGTGCTTAGCAACAAAATTAAATAACATTTTAGACACAACTGTATCAACATACTTTAATATAGAAATGTTATTCAAAGTTTAAAAGAGACATTTGACATTGTGCATTGCACTATCAAAGCAGACTCCTGTCATCTGTTACCATGGCAACACAAGGAACTACAAATCACTTTAACCAAGTCTCATAGGAATGAATATTAAAAAGCTGAATATTGAGCCAATAACAGACTCCTGTTTTTGATCTTTTTGAACTATCTGTACTTAAAACTAGAAACAAGTTCAATTTAATTGACCGTCAGAAAGTGGGAAAGTGCCCCGCTCCCTCCCAGCTCCCTGATTGGTTGAGAGAGTTCAATCATCTTCTGGCTAAATGGAATTGCACACCCACACATGTGAGACATCAAATTGATCGGCTTGGCCTAAGGAATCCATCCATCCACATATAAATCCATACATGTTTCTATTCATCCATCCATCCAATAAACCATCTAACATCCATCCATCATTTAATTCATCCAACCATTCATCAATTCCATATCAAGTCTGAACATATGTTAATCTGTCAGTTTCAGATATCTAAATGTTTCTAAATTCACAGTTCAGCCAATTGTAAAAATGTACCTATTAAACTATTGTCATTCAAATGCCAGCTGTTTAAACATTTCAACTTTTGAGTTTTAATACATGTTCAAAGATGTAAGTTTTCTGCTGTTATGTATTTTTGTCCATTCTTCACCTATATTCTGAGCTTTATTACATTTGTTGGTGATTTTTGCTTCTAAATCTTTAAATACATTCAGCTCATTTCGACAGTTTAGCTTAGTTTCAGCTTCACTGCAGCTATTCAGCAGCTTCAGCAATCAGTTTCCAAATTTTGCATATACTGTTAATTTCACAGTTCAGCTAAATGTAAAAATTAAACTGTTAAACTTTTCCTACTGAAATAACAGGTGTTTAGACATTTTAGCTTTCCAGATTTTTATACAATGTTCACAGATTTCGGTTTTCTGCTGTTTAGGATTAGTTTTCTCTATTATTCACTTACTTTTTGTGCTTTACTTGGTTGTTGGTGCTTTTTGCTTCTTTCAATACATTCAGCTCATTTAGACAGTTTTGCTTAGTTTCAGCTTCATTTCAGTTGTTCAGCAGCTTCAGCTTACAGTTTCAGCTATCCAGCATTCTAACAGCATTTCTGCAAGAAATACACATTTTTCTAGTTTAATGCTTAAAATTCTGAATAATTAATGACCGTCAGAGCTAGCAGTGGGAGCTAGCCCCAGGTATAGGCCTCAGCCTGGGCCTCACATTAATGGATGTTCGATCAGTTCAAAACTCTGAACCTTAGTTGTGTCTTCGGTCTGTTTGGATGTTAATTGTGGAATTATTTGGACAAAGAGGGCAAGCTGTGGTTATTGACTGTACTAACAGATCATCCAAACAGTTTCTGCTTGTTTTTATCAGTAAGTAAAATTATATTTCTGTACTTTATTTTGCTGGTTGAATGGGGGGATTGCTGTGTCATTTAACTGCTTGGTCAACCATGTTAGTGGGGCTGTATAAGAAACTTGAGCGGGTGCCTGGCTTTGTCTGTCTCCTGCTCAAAAACAGCAGGCGCCTGGCTGTTCCTGATTCCCGTGGCAGCCGGGACGCACGCACCAACTCCGATGCAAGACTGTAGTCATATTGATCACTTGTGGATCTGAGGGAGGCCACAGAAACACCGTAGCCCTTTCAGTTCATGCTGCTTCACTTTTGAATCACTCAACCGTATTTTTATATGTCTATGATGTTGACTCATATAGGCAGAACCAGTGTGGAAGCATTCTCACAGCCAGTTGAAGATCAAATTTATGTAGTGGAAGTTTCAATTAGCCAATAAAGGATCATAAAGATTATCACACAAGAAATAGATCCATTTTCTCTTTATTGCTTTGTTGCTCTGCAGTTAATTCGCCCTTCAGTCTTTGTCAGGATGGACTGAAGGATTTGCAGTGGGTGATCTGGCTATCAGTGTCACATTTTACAGATAAAAGAAAGTTCTACCTAAATTTGACTCGTGCAATTGTTTAAGATCAGTTCCAGCGTGGTATTTACTCCACCACGCCGTCTCTGAGCTGTGTGTTGTTTGGCATCATGTCAGATGGAGGAGGAGAAAGTTATGTTGTCCTTCTTCTAGTGTGAGGTCAAAAGTGCATTAGAGGTCATAGGAGATGTCCTTCTGGGGCCTGTTACCTCTCCCCCAAGGTGTGGCCAGTAATGACCCAAGGGAACATTGCACACACACACACACACACACACACACACACACACACACACACACACACACACACACACACACACACACACACACACACACACACACACACACACACACACACACACACACACACACATTCTGCAAACCTGAAGGAGAGGAGGAAAGTGTGGCCTGGGGGAGGCTAGAGGGAAGATCTGGAGTGGAATATGTTATCCTGGATAATGTTGGTTGACCACACTGACAGCTTGTTGATTCACCCCACCCCCTGGCCCACCACTTCCAACACGTACAATATTTCCCACCACAAACACACACCATCCTCCTGCTGAGTCCACAGCCCTCATTTGACCTCCCCCCTCTCATCACAGCTCTGTCATTCACTGAATGCCAAAGCCTGCTGCTTTATTAAAGCCCAGGAAGAGCAAGGTTTGGCCCGGGTTCAAACAGCGGTGCAGCTGGGGCCTGTTACATTTTCGGCAGACTGCCCTCTCCGTCTCGCAGGCTATAAATAGCTTCTGTGGTTGTCTTCCTTCACCAAGGGTAGGAGCTTTTTTGGGGGAGGGAAAAAACCCCACAGAGATTAATAACCGTGGGAAGCAATGAAAGCTTTGTGTCTGCCGCCTGAGGTCAGCAGGTCGGAAGGTGTTCAAAGCCTCTGCTGTGGCTCATACTTTCTGATGCTGCCGTGGTGGTTTTGATGGGAAGGTGATGTGCTGGTACCACGGGTTCACACTCGCCAATAAGGGTTGGGGAAACTGTCAGTCATAGGTTTGGCTTTCATGGGATCTAAGTCTGAAATGTGGACTCTGCTGAAATTAAATTGAAGAAGAAAGAATCATAATGTTGCTTCAGCCTGTGGTTATGGTGCAACATTTGATTTAATGTAATCAACACAAAACAGACAAACTATCGTTGTTTAAAATCCGTTACACCCTTATCAATTACTTTATGGCCACAAGCTCTTCCATGTTTTTTGTTTATGGAATTTACAGGAATTTCAGTGAAATCCCAATATTGCATTTCTATTTTGTCAGGAGGACATTTGTTTTTACTGACGACTGTTGGACCTTGTGTTGTTGGAGTCTGTGGGCACCATCCAGCTCTGGCTCCAGCTGAGGGTTGGTGGGCCCGGCTCCAGCTGTTGCAGACGCTTCCACTTCCTTAACATTGTTTTCTTAGAAACTGTCCTATGCCGTAACAGTATCCACCCACTGGAGTGGTGGTCTCCTGGGCAAGGCTTTGCTCCTGGCGGATGTAGTGGGCTCGTTCATTCATTCATTGCCAGTTATTTTTCCTCCTTTTTCTTGTAGGAAAGTAAATCCACTACTGTTTTCTTTTTTTCCTCTGCCTTCAGCTCTTTGTATTGTTTTTGTTTGATCATACTGTGACCGGTTTTATGGGATTACGCTCACAGAACAAAACATAATCATTATTTGTATTCATCACTAAGTAAAGCTTTTTATAAATACCCAACAAAAACAGATCAAATTAGTCCATTTTTTACATGACACTCAACCGGGTCCTAATCAGAGCATCGGTTACGTCGTAATGAAAGTTGTTGAGTAGAAATTGTTTGATAATGAACCGAAGTCAGCCGAAAAACACGAGTAAACAAAAGTGACTGTTTTTTTCATGTTCAAACTAAATGTTTTCTTGGTTTGTGTCTTTCAGACTCCAAACCCCATGGATCAGGTAGGGAAGATGCGTAGCCAGCCATATGGAGGACCCAACCCTTATTCCCAGCATCAGCATGGGCCTCCATCTGGTCCTGGTCCCCAACAAGGAAGTTCTTACCCTGGACAAGGCTTTGGGCCTCCAGGCCCCCAGAGATACCCAATGGGGATGCAGAGCCGCACACCAGGCTCTATGAGTGGCATGCAGTACGGACAGCAGGTCAGTGTGTATGGACTTTTTGTAATCGGCTTTTTTACATTTTGTACGTTAACAGCAAAATAAGTTGTGCTTTTACATAGGGCTGGACGATAATTCAATAGTTCAATATATCTATCGATAGACATGTGGTGCGATAGATAAAAACTGGTCGATAAAACTTCGATAAAAAAGTTTCCTTTTTCATTATAACTTATCAGGTAGCAGCATACTAGACTCACTACTAACTCCTAACCAATCAAAACCACAGACTCGGCACGCTACGTCATCAGGCCCTCCCCTCTCAAACCAAAAGAGAGCGAGAGGCAGCCGCAGCAAGATGTTTAGGACTGCCATGATTAGTCGACTCGTCACGACATGGCCGACAAAAAGGACCTTATTTTATAAACTTTTTTTTAAATGTCGCCTGCTGCTGCACGTTTGGCTTTTGCTTCCTGCCTCTCTGCTCAGCCACCGCTTTAGCTCCAAGGCGCATGCGCTGTGGTGGCCATCCAGCTCAGCCTTCATCGTCGGAGAAAGTGTTGAGTCGCAACATATCTGAAAAAGTTTGGGAGCATTATACTAATTCAAAAGAAAGCCACGTAGTGCAAACTCTGCAAAGCGAAACTCTCCTTTCACAGGAGCATATCGGCGATGCACGAGCATCTTAAGAGGAAGAACAGAGTCGCCTCGGTAAGTTTACCTCTTGTTAGCTAACATCAACAGAGTTACTTGTATTTATAGCTGCAGCAACACCAGTAAAGACGGTGATGTCTGGTAAATAAACTAACTTCAATATCTTTTATCATTATGCTAAAGCAGACCCTCAGAGCTGTCGATGGTCCCTGACTGCTGACATGTAGACCAGTCGTGCTACAGAGGCGTACCTTGGTGTGTCCTGCTATTTCCTGAGAGAAGATTGGAAGATGAAGCGCTTCAACCTTGGCACCATGCCTCTTGTGAACACAAGTTTTTTTGGTTTTAGGTGTCTACCTCCATGTGGTTGTAGCATTTGTATCAACAGGTTCCAAAGTTGATTAAAGTTGTTTGCTAAGCTGTCATCTTGCCTTTATTATTAGATGACCCATAGCTGATCACACTTCAGACTAGAAGCTAAAGATGGTATATTAGAGCATCCTGGTGCAATAAGCTAAACTTTTATAAATGACACGATTACTAAAATAGTCGATTACTAAAATAGTCGTTTGTGGCAGCCCTGAAAATGTTGCAGTGAGAAGAGGCAGAGAAAAAATTCAGAATACCAAAAATAAAATGGCCAGGGGTCCACGCAAAATATTTTCTACAATTTTTAAAATATTTTTCAATAATTACAGGGTGTCCGCGGGGTTTTAAAAAGTATTAAAAAGTGATAAATAAAAATAGTCAAATTTAAGGCCATTAAAAGTGTTAAATTTGGTCACAGAGGTATTATTTTTTCCAAATTAGGTATTAATTTTTTCAGACTATCAGGTGTCGTATTCTGAACATCGACATAGAAATATATTCCGAATGAAATGTTTTGAACGATTATAAAAACAAAACAAGCCGATTATTTGCTCCTCCCACTTGCGCTGCCCTGAGTTCCAAATGAAGCGCTCCTCACAGTGTTGCCAACTTGGCGACTTTGACGCTATTTCTAACAGCTTTTCAGACCCCCTTCTTGACTTTTTAACTTAAAAGTACCTAGCGAACACCTCAGAAACATCTCTGGTAACCCTTAGCTACTTTCTGGATAACTATCGTCGACATTTCCTGCAGGTTAGCTAAACACTCCGCCTGCGCTCCGGACCGTTCTTCAGGACATTAGGAAAGGGAATGATGTAGTGATGTGTCAGTCGCTAAAGAAACAGCTCTCGGAGCCGGCTCCCTGTTGGAGTAACCAGAGTGAGTGACACACACACCGTACCTGCGGACTCCTGAGCCGCTAAAAACGGCTAAATGTGCGCGTGCAGCTTGCCCCTGATAGCTGTGAGACTGGGTTGGGGGGGTGGGGGGTGCAGCTGTGATTGGGACAATTATTACATTAACTGATGGACGACTTGTAAATAAATAGTTTATAAATAAGGTAGAAATAAGTTCCTCACGCTGATAAATAATAACTAATCTCTCTGAGGACACATTGCTAGTGCACTCTCCTACAGCACCTTGACACGACTCAATAAATGTTATGCAACATTTTGTGAACATCAATTTGCATGTATTTGTTATAAATGCCACTGTATAATTCTTGTTGTCAGTATTTGCAAGATATTGGTATTTGGGTCTGTACTGGTTAGACTTAAATGAGTTAAACCAAGGTCTATAGCCCTAGGGTCATAAACTATGAGCTATAAGTATGTGGCAGTGTGAGTGTCCTGTCACAGTGTCCCGATAGATCATGCGTCCTGGCTACTTGGCCAAGGGGATGTCTCTTTGGCTGACTGGTTAGAGAGTATGACTCTCACCTGGGAGTCTGGGGATCGAATCCTGCCTGGGCTCTCGTCTATCCACCTTGCCACAAGTATATTGGTCTTTTTATACTGGGAATCGGGAGTTATTTTAGTGATCATCTTGCTTCTTGTTTATTTTTGCCCTGATTGTGCCCTGAGCAGTTTTATGACTGAATAAAAACAAAAATCTACATAAATTGAAAAATCGTCTTAAATAATCGAGATCTCAATTTCAGTCACAATAATCGTGATTATTGTTTTTGCCATAATCGAGCAGCCCTACTTTAGCATATCCGGTCACATAATGATGACGCCATATTCAGTGGTCGTTGTGCATCATTTCAGGCCTCGTGGTCAACTGTCTGAACCGCTGAACAGAAGTGCCTGTCTTATTTTCTAAGTAAAATAAATATGTGCAATACGTTGTCAACATCAGTGAGTCTCTAAGTCTATTCGTTTTGTATGTTATATATGTTAAAATATGTGTAAATAGGTCGCTGATTAACACTTGCAATTAAGTGTTGTGATGGTTTTAAAAAAATTTTGAAGGTAGTAAAAAAAAGTATTATAAAGTAGTAAATTTTACTTAAGGATTGCTGTATATACCCTGAATTATCTATATCGATCAATATAATTTTTTTTATCTATATACTTTTTTCCATATCGTCCAGTCCTACTTTTAAATTTATTGATGACCAAAACTCAGCTGATCGGGAAACGAGATTGGTCATAAAATCAGCAGAAAGAGATCTGTGTTTGTTTCCCCTAAAAACACGACCCAGAGTTTTTGTTCTCCCTCTCCTGATAATAACGTTTTGTTTCCTTGACGTTGGATGTGCTACTACTAGTTTACCCGTTTAATTATAGATCCACTAGGATAAATACAATAAAGTTTATCTCTCGCCAAATAGAATATTTACTAAGACATCACAATATAACCATAGACACATTACGTGTGTGTGTGTGTGTGTGTGTGTGTGTGTGTGTGTGTGTGTGTGTGTGTGTGTGTGTGTGTCTGCTCTGTCTTCTCCATCCTCAGTGAGTCGTGGAGGACGGCTGCTTATACTGAGCCAGGATCCTCTGGAGATTTCTTCCTGTTAAAAGGGAGTTTTCCTCTCCACTGTCGCTGCATGCTTGCTTAGTATGAGGATTGCTGTAAAGTCACTGACACTAGTCAGTGACTTGATGCAATTTGCTGGGTTCCTTATATAGGAAACATTATTTCTGATTGGCTTAATGAACTGACCTGAATTGGAATGTTTATTATGTGACGTGCCTTGAGACGACTCTTGTCGTGATTTGGCGCTTTATAAATAAACTTGAATTGAATTGAATTGAATAAGGTTTGGACAGTATCTCAAGATTCTTAAAACATCAATATATTTTCAAACAAGACAGTTAGCAGGAGTTGCTCTTGCTAGCTTGCTACTTCTCCATCTGTGAATGTAAGATGTCATCACATGTGCTCTTACGCAACTAACTGGCAAGACAAATTTACTGGTAATGGGTGTGTCCGAATCCAAAGAAAGGATGCTTATGAGTATGGGTCCTCGCCGGTCTAGCAAGGCCGGGTCCTTGAAGACCGCTAAAACCGGAACCCAGCGGCTCTGAATTCGGACAGTCTAGCCTTCACCTCTACGGTGGCCCGTAGGTCCCGTCACAGCCGTGGCGGCAGCTACACGCAAAGGAAAAATGCTAAAGCTAGCGAAAATGGAGCAGGAATATTAAGGAGCTGCAGCAGCTTCATGTCCATCAGCAGCGTTTGTTCACAACCGTTTTCAGGTAAAGTAACTTTGTTTATTCTAGAAGCTTTCAGGACTTACATGCTAACTTTAGATGGCTTCATGTATGTTTTAAGCTACAGAATGAACTTGTTAAACATACACAACACATTACTACAGAGTATTATCATGTAGGTAATTAATATAAACCAAATGCATTATAAATGTTGAATGCAGTCGGATGTTTTCTAATGTAAATTGGACCGTAGAACTTATTTTGCATCAAATGAGGGTAAAACGTTTTAAAAAACAGGCTTTTTAATAAAATAGCATTGAACTGTTTTCAGTGTGCATTTGTTTATTCAACTTAAGCCTAATGATTAGATCTGTCTTAAAAATGTAAATTCTCTGTAGTTTTCCCTGCTGCTTTTCTTTAAACTGAACAGAACCAGTGCACTGCAGATTATATGTTTTGTTTCACAGTTTTCAATAAAAAAAACTCTTTTTTAATCTGTTACAGGTCAGCATGCACTGTGCTGCACATCTGCCTCTGTGCTGGTGAAGTTGTGGGTCTGGAGGATGAGCGTGAGGAAGATGTGTGTGGAGGAGGTCAGTGGTGCTCTGTCCTGCAGGAGGTACCAGCAGACCACCACTGCTGTTAACAGCCGTCGTCTGAGCCAGCCCAGCAGGCCCTGTAGATGGACGATGGAGTGGACAGTGAGAGGAAGCGTCCCAAAGCTCTCTCTGCAGACCGTCCTGTATGATGTTCCTCTGACCAGAAACGTCCAGCCACGGGTCTGCTCCAGCCCTCCATCCACATCTGGATCCTCCTGCAGCAGATCCAACTGCTCTGTTAAAGACTTCCTGCTCACTCAGTTTAAATAAATGATCCAGGAAGAGTCACTCAGGTTAATCCTGCTTTAACCGTACAAAACTGGTCCATACTGGTTCTGATCTGTAAACAAGTGTAACCTATTATAAATAATCTTGTCTCCTTACCATCTTTTCATTTTCTGTTCATGTAACATGTTCAAAAACATCAGTAATAATAAAATTGGTGATAAAATCAATGACCAGTAAGAGTTATCAGTTATTATTTGTTTTAATAAATGTGTTCAAATATCAAACAGCTAAATAACATTAACATGATGACAGTAGAAGGACTCTCTCCCAGGAGGACCACCAGGTAAAGACTCTCCTGACCCTGGACACCTGCAGTCCTACAGAGAAAATCAGAGACCACAGATGACAAAAAGGCAATAAACACATTTTTACATTTATCCACATGAGAAGATAAAAATTATATTCTTCACACAAACTTTTTACTTCATTATAACGTGTCAGCTGTGTAAATCTCTGAATGTAAAACTACTTTTCACAGAAGAACTTCAGTGGTTGTGTGTAAACAGCTTCACTCTTCACCTCTAAGCTTAATAAAAACGCTTCTTTGCTCTGTTGTCCTTAAAACAAATGACAAGTTTAATTCGCTACACACACACACACACACACACACGGGAATAACTGGGACCCGCGATACAAACTCGGTCTGGCTGATTTCTGCCTAAAACATAATTTAAAAAACAAATATACAAACGAAAAATGTCTATAAACTGAACCGCTTTAAGCTTTTTAGATTTCTACGGCTAGCTTTTAACAAACTTACGTTTAAAACTTCGTAGCTCTCCCCATTTTCTCTGCCTGTTGAAAATCCACAGCCGGCGCGCAAAGCATGCTGGGATAGCCTTGTTCTGTGAGGATACAACAGACCCGTCCTCGAAATGTGGGCGGAGCGAGGACGCGTTTGAGGACGTGAGAATGAGTATTCTTGGAATTCAAACAGTACTCGTCGCTGCGCTATGACGTCATCGCACTCTTACAAGCATCCTTTCCGTGGATTCGGACACGCCCAATATTTACTGCCACAGCCTACTGTTCTAGTGCTAACAGTGAGCTAATGCTAACACAAGCCAATTGATATTATTACTTAAAACAGTGTTTCCCAACCCTGGGCACACTCTCCTGCACTTTTTCCATGTCTGCTTCACTACACCTGATTTACATTGACTCCTCAGGAGGACACCAAGTGCTGCAGATGCCTGTTAATCACTTATTCATTTAAGTCAGGTGTGTGGCAGCAGGGAAACACTGGTGTTTAAAAGGGCAACATGGAAAAACATGCAGGACAGTGTGCCTGGAGGACCAGGGTTGGGAAACATTAGCTGTTTTTACAAAACCATGCTGTCATGAAATTAACTTTTCATATATAACCAACACTGTTGCTTGAAACTTCCTTCAGTTTTTGTTTTGCCCTAAAACAAACTAAAGGAAAGCCCTGACAAAATCATACATGACAAGAACAGTCAAGTTCTCCCTGTCAGGTCTGTTTTCACGCTTGAGAGTTTTAATAAAAGGAGAAAAATTGTGCTGCGTAGATGGGCGCAGTGGACAGCACATCCAGCTGAAAACTCAACATCCAGTTTGCAGTTGAAACTTACTCATAGCAGAGAATAAGACCCTGTTTGAACTTTCTCAGCCAGCCAGCACACCTGAACAGAGAAATACATGCAGGGAATCCCATAGAGTGGAGGCTTTTCTTCAACGTCCACCGCCGGTGGTCTTGTGCCCATTGTGTGGTGTGATTATCTCATACTGGCCTGCCTGGTGTCTGACCATGAACTCGATAAGTGGCCTGCAGAGAAGAAAACAGCTTCCTTGCCTCTGTCGGCCACATACAATAGAGCCACTTGATGTTGTTTTAAATGCGTAGCAATTCTTCATTACCATCTTGTTATTTCTTTGAATTCTTGAGTAGCTGAGTGCCCCCCCCCCCCCCCCAGTCTAAAAAGGTTGTATTTTTCTAAAATGCTAGCGTGTTTCCTCACAAGGTCAATGCTTCATCCTTCCATGCTTTTTGAGTGATGAGTAATAAAATGAAAACACACTGCATTGAAAAACGTAAATGTGCAGAACACCCAAAGAATATGAAAAGGCCCGGATTCCTACTTCAGAGATGGAAGTCCAAATGCTGGTTTGGGGGTTTTTGCTTTTATGAATCTGCTCCCCGCTTTGATGACTAATACTGACCAATCTTGCAGACATAACTCAAAAACAGCTTATTGAGGTAATCAAAATGTGCCGAATTGTGTATCTAAGGTCAGAACTGCACACTGATCTGAATCTGCATTCCTACTATTGTCATAACTTTGCACCCTAATATACACAAGTTTTTAAAGGTTTGGTTGTTTGCAAATATCAATATTTTCCAACGTTTGGGTCAGGATCCCACCATCAGCCATGAAACGTAGAGTGTTGGGTCTGTAAAGGATCTATAGAAATCCAATTAACTTCAAACATATTTGCCCAAGAGCTGTTAGGCCTCAACTAAAATTAAAACTGAATTTATAAAATTATTACAGTGGTTGAAAAAGCTCTTTGTTTAATGTCCTATTATCTATGTTTGTATACTTTAACCTACAACAGTCATGGTCACACGTCTCTGAGGCTGTCGTTATGTGAGTCAAAAGCTGAAAACCTTGGGATCAACTGATATAGGGGTTATAACATGGATGCAATTCATTGCTCAAACTATAAAAAAATGAATAAAATGTCTTATGTAGAGAGCATTAATGAGGTTTTTAGTTTTTTCTTTAGCTTTCACATCTTCCTTTTGTCTCTTGTTTAGATGTCCACTTATGGACAGCAAGGTCCAGGAGGCTACTGCCAGCAGAATCCGAGCTACTACAGTCAGCATGGCCCACCGCAACCTCCATATCCTGGTCAGTCCCAAGGCAGCTCTGGCCCTCCCTACTCCCAGCAGAGTCATCCATCTCAACCTCCTGGCCAACATGGCCAGCCTGGGGCTGCTTATCAACAGTCTCAAGGGCCACACAGTTCTGCTCCAGGCCAGCCTCCTTACAACCAGTCCTCACAATCTCAGCCAGGACAGACACCTTATGTCCCTACCCAGCAGCAGCAGCCTCAACAACAGCAACAGCAGGGCCCTGCTCCCCAAAGTGAGCCGGGCTCTCAGGGCCAAGCTGGATACCCACAGCCACCTGGAGCAGGTCAGCCACCTCAACAGCAAACTCCACAGCAGCAGCGAGGACCCCTGAACCAACAGCAGCAGAATCAAGCAGGAGGTCCACCTCCTCCAGCCCAGCAACCCACAGGTCATGGACAGCAAAGTCAATCACCTTACTCCCAGACACCCCCTCTGCAACAGCAGCAACCACCACAGCAGCAGCAGTCACCATATCAGAGGTTCCCGCCTCCTCCACAGGTACGACCTGCTCAGGACTCACGGTCATTTTAACAGCCAACAACTATTAAGTGCTCAACTACAGCTCTTGTTTTCATGCCCTTGGTCTGTTTTATCTGTTTGTGTTATAATCAGGAACTCTCCCAGGATTCCTTCAGCTCTCAGTCCAGTGCTCCTTCAAACCAAACCAGCAAGAGCGGTCAGGAAGACAGCATGCAGGCTCGACCATCCAGTCTGCCGGTGAGCACCCCTCGTGTTTTATTCCTCTCACACACCTGGTTTTTGAGCCGATTCCATTCACACGTTCAGTACAGCTGTGAAATTGTGATGATTGTTAGTTGGGTCTGGATTTTGTTGGTCTGTTTTACTGCTCTGCCTGGAAAAGCCAGAAAATGACCATAAACAGACATTTCTACAGGCAGCCATGATCTCACTGATGTTATACTTTGGCATTTTGCCTTTCATGGGTGGCTCAGTAGACCCTGCTATTCCTTCAGCTAATAAACCTGGACACTTACCTGGTTCTGTACTGAGCTACTTTGGAGTGGACCCTAAGAGCAACAAAGGAAATACAGATGCATTTCTCACCTCTTTCTTTTAGGCGATTCTTTGAGGGGCTTTCCTGTTTTTTTCCCCGGACATCTTTAAGATTATTATATCTGGTAGAAGTGTTGTTGGAAGTAAAAGTGGAGTCTGATGGTTCTCCCTGATAACAAGGGGTCTTGTTGTAACACATCGCCGTTTCCATGGCAGTGTTTATAGGTCAGACTGTGGCGCTAACCTCATTCTGGGCCTCGGGGAACGAGAGTGAGAAATGAGATCATTAATGAGAGGGAATGAGAGTGAGAGAGTAGTGGAGTGGGGAGGGGAGGGGAGGGGAGGGGAGGGGAGGGGAGGGGAGGGGAGGGGAGGGGGGTGCAAACAAATAACTTCAAATACTGTGAGTGATTGGCCGGGGTTGAAGAAGGAGGGAGGGGTAAGAGGCAGAGCTTTCTATGCCATTAGGGGATGCCCTTAGGATGTGTTTCCCTGCTATTTTATTTATTTCTGTTATTTATTTATACCTCTCTCAGTAGGCTCAGTCATTGGCCAGGCTAGCTGGGCCAGGGATGTTTTTATTTGTTTCGTCTCTTTTTTTCCCCTAACTTCTCGGGGATTCCCCATTTGTCCTGTGTGATTAGCCAGGAGAGCCATTAATTTAGCTAAGGTAGATGTAAACCAATCCTCTTCCCATTTAGCCCTGCAGCATGCACACATCTGTGTGCACATTAGACCATGCTGCCTGATAGCAGGACTTTGACAAGCGTAGTCAAGGCAGCTGAGTTTGTTCCTACAGGTGTTTTCAGTTCTCGTTCACCTGGGATATCTGTTGCACCTGGATCACATTCTTCCTTTTAGCTCTGACAAAATACAATATGAGAACTACACTAAATTCGGTTTTAGGGCTGATACCAGTTTATGATTTATGTAAAGGTCTGACCTGAAAAACATGACGCTACAAATCCTCAGCGTGACGTGTGAGGTCTATAACTGTAAAACTTGTTTGTCTTCTTGAATTTCTCAGGAAAGTTATAACTGTGAGATAGTAGACAAAAACCAAATACATGTTCAAGTATTATTTGAAAGGAACATTAAAACTTACCAGCTTTTTCTCTGTGGTGCGTAAAGGAATAAACACTGTTTGCAATAAAAAGATAAGTTATGCTAATCACTATAAAAATGTGGAAAAATCATCTGAAGGCCCTTTTTTCACACAAAAATAAAGGGTCTGCCATACAGAGCTAAGTGACCGCAACGGGTAAAAGAGAGGGGAGCACCACTACTCTAAGCTCCATATTGCTCCAAATGAAAAAAAACAAGCATCTTCTCTGTTACCTTGTTAGAAGACTTTTAAACTACAGGACATGTAATGTAGTGGTTTTGACACTATGTTCATGTTTATGTATTTAGCAGACGCTTTTGTCCAAAGCGACTTACAAGTGATAATCGGCATGTTGCCCTTGAGGCTATCAACAACAATAACAACAACTTGACATCAGTCATGGAGAGGAGGGAACAAGGAGTGGACAGTAGAGAGGGGGGACGGATGCAGGGAGGGTGCTAGTTTAGAAGATGCTCTCTGAAGAGCAGGGTCTTCAGGAGTTTCTTGAAAATTGAAAAGGAAGCCCCTGTTCTGGTAGTGCTTGGTAGGTCATTCCACATTTGTGGAACGATGCATGAGAAGAGTCTGGATTGTCCTGAGCGTGGTGTAGGCACTGCTAGCCGACCATCCTGTGATGACCGGAGCGGCCGGGCCGAGACGTAAGCCTTTGCAAGAGGATTCAGGTAGATGGGAGCCGTACCGTCTCAGACTTTGTATGCTAGTGTTAGCTATTTGAATTTGATGCGTGCTGCTAGCGGTAGCCAGTGGAGCTCAATGAACAGAGGGGTGACGTGTGCTCTTTTAGGCTGATTGAAGACCAGACGCTAAAACTGATTCATGCCCAGTCACAGTAGATGATCATCTCTCAAGTTCTTGCATGATTTTTTTTTTCATAAAGACATTTGATTGAGATAATTTACATCCACCATACATAGATTTTTTTTTTTGCCACCTGCTATTTTGGTCTTTTTTTAAGTCCATTTTTCCAGTTTTTTGAAGAATGCGAGTGCATAAGGTAGCCTGGCAAGCCCTCTTATATATATGAATCCATAGTCTGGCCATAGACTCACAGTTGTGAGGCGGAGTCTGTGGTTGTTTTACAAACTATCTCTGCATGCTCTTGAACCACACCAATACGATGTCAGCCAGCAGGGCAGTCCTCCATACACTGTCGAAAAATACACTAATACATTCTTTTTCTAAATAACGGATTTAAGTACCTTTGTCTGCTCTTGAAACAAAGGAAGCCCAAGTCTGAATAGTCCGAAGTTGATTCCAAAGCTGTTTCAAACAAGCTGTTGACATCTATGTTGTTTCGCTCCATTGCGTTATCCTGCCACCAAACCGAAAGAGCACTGCGATCGGCAAGACACAAGATTGTTCGACCTGCTGACCTTCCATTGTAGAGTGGCTAGACCAACGTACAGCACAAAATCGTGCAGCTTCTGCTACTGTCCGTAAAGATTTGTAAGCTAGCGTTAATACTTTTTTTCGCTAACAGCCACATGTTAATATAAAATACATTTTTAAATATTCTTGTCCGACTGTTATTGTTGACTGTGCAATAGAAGAAAATCCAACATGTTTTGTTTCCATTGTTTTGTTTTTTTGTTGTTGTTTTAATATGTTTAGTGGTATGAAGGCAGAACGATTCCTTCTATGCTTCTATTTACAGTGACTCAGTAGAACACGTTGAGTTGTACTTTAAAGGCCAGACTGAGGTTTTTAGGAAGTCAAAGGAAATCATAGATGGTTTTTTTTATTTCTTCCTAATTTCTGTTCAAATCCCAGCCTAGCAACCACTAAAAGAGTCAATAATATTTAGCTACTTCAGTAGCATTTATGCAAAACCATGCCACTCAGGTGGGAATAAAGGTGAGCAAGAGGCTCGGCTCCTGCTGTAAGGTGCTGGTTGGGGCGCAGCAGTCTGCCTTGCAGCAGTGCTGTGGATCATGTGAGGAGGGAGGGGGGAGGGGAACAGGCTTCAATGGTGGAACTAGCTGAGCAGGCTGAACTGGTTCCTGGTTTGTTTTCACCTTGCTTCTAGGCCACATATACAACTGTTGAATATTATCGTGAGTTATCCTCAATGACCCTTAAACTACTCTTAGAAGGCAATAGGTGTTTGTAGTCTTTGTGTCTTGGACTTTTACTGTGACTTGCAAAGGCTGATATAATTTCTAGGAAAGGAAGTGAATTAAGTATTAGATGGAGGAAAGTGGCATTTTTGTTCTCTAACAGGTCTCATGTTATTGACTAAATGCTGTAATGAATAACCATTGCTGCTGATTAAAAGGTCTCTACTAGTTTTACTCATAGAAGCTTATCAGAAGAAGGGTGTACAGCTTGCGAAAACAGCTGGTTAATGTCTTTCATGAATCCTGTGGGAGCTTTCAAGGCCACCTTTCCCACCATGTTTGAAACAGGTACTCTTCATTAATTCTGACATAAAAACCTAGCCTATTTCCACTGAACGAGTTTCTGGACATTTCTTGGGGGTGGGGGGATAGGAGGGGAACTGACATTGGCTCAGCCGCTCAGCAGCTGTGTCTCAATACAAAATTAGTCCTTTAAAGAAGTAATTTGGGGACTTTTTTCTCTGACAGTACCATCTAAAGGCAGATAAATGTATTGCACTTTAAGTTCCTTTCCCTGTGTCCGTGTTTACGGCTAGATAGGATGCTTCTTGTTCGTGAACGTCCACCTCTCGCCAACCAGTAGAGCTAAAACACATTGTTTTACAGTTTTTATTCTCATATTATGCTCTTTAATCATATATGTATATATTTTTGAAAAAACTTGGCATCGGGTAAGTACTTAAACACTTGGGCGTTAGGTTAAGTCCTAACGTTTGTTAGTGCTGAGCGGTGCTCAATTCAAATTGCATTGGACTCTACTGGATGGGGATGGGCTTCGGACAAACAAACGTAGGTATTGCTTACATTATATCACAGTTCAGGGTAAGTATCACTTTTACGGATTTCTAAGAAATTCAGACATAAATCCTTAAAGGGGGGATAACTCAGCATTGCATCTTTATGGACATTTGCTGAGACGTCAGCATATCGCTACCGTTTTGGCAGTGATTGACATCACCAACCAGCACCTAAAGATGCCCATAGACATTAATAACAGTGAGGTAAGACCAGTGTTTTAAGTGGGCCCGTATGGCCTGGTATACCATATCGGAGCTTTATAATATTAACTCTAAGCGTATCAGGACTTTTTCTTGGCCTACTAGTAACTAGGGCTGGGCGATATATCGATATTTTTAAAATATCTATATAATTTTTAAACAAGATATAAGATGACTTTAAATTCTTATATCGATATAACTGGTCAAACTGCTATGCTAGCGATTTGCCACTATGCTAGCAACATGTTGCTCCATCTCTAAGCGGCTATTACATGTATTCTCACAAGTTTGCTCAATCTGAGGGCCTCTGGGTAAATGTGCTGATCTAAACTTTGCATTTGGCGTCCTGGTTATTAATTATTTGGGGACGTTTAACGCCAACGAAGTTCTGTTTTTCCATCCTGCGTGTGCAGAGAGATGAGTCAAACCCCTCCCTTCCCTGTGTAATCGGGAAACATCTAT